ACCACTGCTACAAATGATCCCAATATGACTAACGGTAAATCGCTGCCATACGCTTTTAGAATCTTATCACTGCCTTTGGTGCACTTCTGCACAATAATGCATTTTTCTTTCATCATTTCCCATGTTCCAACAGTGATCAGGTTTGCGTCCGATCCCGAGTCAACTAGCATTTCGGTAGGAATTCCTCCAACTTCACATTTAATCAAATTCGTCAGATTTCCGGTGTGAAACGTATAATATACTTTCTGCTCAACACCGTCGACAAAAGGCTCTTTTTCAGCGGCAGTGCTTGACGATTCGTCATTTACTGCTCGGACCTTCTTTGTAGTAGCATGTTCCGGAAATTTCGGTGGGCGCTTGCGACATGTCTTCTCGAAATGGCCAATATTCCGACACCTACGGCACCTTTGCCCTTTCGCAGGGCACGCAGCATCTTTGGAAATATGCCCGTTCTGACCACACGAATAGCATACAACTCTCTGATCCCTGTCAGCTCTATCTGAAGTGGTTCTACCTATGAACCGTTGTAAAATCCGTTCCTGCTTGCGCCCGTCCCTGCTCACTACGAATTTATCAACTTTTCTAACTTCAAATTCCCTGGGTTCACCACGCGGATGCTTGTTGCTCATCTCCAGCTCCTGTGCCCTGACACTTTCCAATTATTCGCCCAATGCTTCAATACAGGAAAGAGATTGATCTTTCTCTAATATCTTACGACGGAGTTCCTGAGAAGTGCAACCTTCTACGATCACATCAATCAGCATCATTTCTTCTACGCTGCATCTGACGTCTTGTGAATACTTCTCGAGTCCACAGTCCTGGAGCTGCTGTCGCAACCGTAGAATGAAATGAGAAAATCGTTCATTTGTACCTTCATGTTCCGCAGTTTATATCGTTCAAGCACGTCTTGTCTACGTGGCTTGAAATAGGCCTCCAGCCGCTCTACAGCAACGTCAAACCACGGCTTTTCAAGTAACACCATGGAAAATTGTTCAGTCCCCTCCAAACTCCTGAAAACCTTCTGAAGCTGTGGACCTCCCAAATGAAGCATCTTGGATCGCTTTAGCTTTTGATCAGTAATCTGGTACGACTCAAAATAACATTCGAGGGCACCCTTCCACTCAAGCCATTCTTTGGCCAATTTGCCGCTTTCAATCTGTTCGCATCTGAACATGGGCAACGGACGACTCTCATCCATCTGAAACAAATCAGACCAACACAAAAATGTTTGTTGAATTCAATTCGTAATTATCTTCTTTTTTTTCACGTGCAATTTATTGATCAGAAAAATAACATAACCATTCGGATTAACACCTTCTTCTCTTGCAAAATATGAAGCGAAAAAAATATATATACAAAGAATAATTGTTCAACAACAAACTTTGTGTTCTACACTCATCAGTCTACTTTCAATCCTTGATCAATACTTTGATGCAAACCCTTAATTCATTCAATGTCGTTTCCAGCCCCCTAGCCGCAGAAAATTTCAAATTATTATCTCTATTCCATTTAACGTCTAGCCTCCAGCCCCCTAGCTGCAGAAACTTTTAAACCAATGGCCCCCTAGCCATTCAATTTCAGGTTTCCAGCCCCCTAGCTGCAGAAACTTTTAAAACAGTGGCCCCCTAGCCAGTCACTTGTTTCCAGCCCCCTAGCTGCAGAAACGTTCAAAATAATTAGCTATTCAATCCATTACTTCCACTGGTAACAACTTTCATAATTTGATTCTTGCGGTACTATGCCCCTCCTGGACACAGCATCGTCAACTAATTGTTTTTTTTTTCATTACAGTGGCCCCAACCGAGGCTCCAACTAATCGATAGCCTGGATTGAACGGTCTTTCAATCCCGGATCTATTTTCAATTAATATCTCCGACAACACAAATCTTTCCGCATGCCAAAACAACATCAATAAATCTTCTTCAGAGGCAACTAACCATCACAAGATTTGCTTTTGCTTCTTCTTCTTGTATTCCTTAATCATCACTTTCTAAAAGTATTGGTAAAATTCGTTGGTAGTGTGCGTCGCCGTGCCAAAACAGTCAATGAAGCATAAATAACAACTGGTATGGTGAGCAAAATCTACCATCTCTTTTATTCTTTTACTTTTCAATACAACAGCAAATGTGACGTCACACATGCAAGCGTATAGAGATCTCCAAGCGCAATCTCACGAACACTAAAATCCAACATCCATACATAAAAATAAAGACGAAGAAGAAACAAAAAGGTATCGCGATATCACAACTACTTAAAAAGGTAGCGCGCGGTCTCACGCACACTTTTGTGCATCTGGAGAACTCTATAAGAATGTCGTAGACAAAACATTCACACTGCCAGACAACGCTGTATGGCATTTTGTTTACACCCTTGAGCGGGAAAGCCAATAACAGGCTACATGCAATGCTGCCATCTTCCTTTTTTGTGTTTAATTCAATCTTTTTAACCTTTGCAATTGGAACGTTTATGTTCCAAAAAAGGTCCTTTTAGTTTTATTTATTCAGTGTTTGATATTCATTCACCATTAAAATCATCCACTCATCTAAGTTATTGGTTCAAACTTAGTATTTGCATGTTTTAAAAAACTTATGTTGACTGCTAGACGTAATACATCTGGCAACGCTTGTTCAATGATTCTTTTACGTTCGCTAGCAAAGAACTGGAGTCGAAGTGATTTTCTTGGTGTTTTTTTTTTGTTCACCAAGAGATTTGACCTCCAGTTTTTATTCATTTTGTGTATTCGATTACGTGAAATTGTGGAATGCTACGAAGAACACAAGTCCGGAGTGATTTGAGATTTGGGCGAAATTGCTTTTGTAAACAAACACGTCAATTACTGATTTCTTTTGAATAAAAGCTCAATCTCACAAACAAACTATACCAAATGATAGAGGAATCATTCCTCTACCTCATAATGTTATTACTTTTCGAGATTGAGCTTTTATTCGTGAGAAATCGGTGATTGACGTGTTTGTTTACAAATGCAATTACGCCCAAATCTCAAATCACTCCGGAAGTAAGTAAATGCAGTGATGGTGTTTTACCCAGAAAATATACGATGTAAAATCATGAAATACTTGCTTTAAATTTTCGGATAGCGTGTGTGTGAATGTATGTGTACATTAATTATGATGATTGAAGAATATTTCAAAAACAAGGAGAATCCTAATTGATTGACTGTGTTTTGAGCCTTCATCGCCCCTGGGTATACCTTACAGGGGAAAAAAATCGGAATTGCAATCATCAGAAGCAGCCATTTTGTTTTTCAGATTTCCTTCAATCACAGAACAAATTTAATAACACTGCATTTTATTCGTAATTACCTTTGATTCTCTGTAATCCTCGTCGCCAGATGTAGATACTGAAGAAGACCCAGTTTCGGAATATTTGTTCAAAACCACTCGATTAGATTTTCACACCAACCAATATTTATTCTTCACCTCGTCAATCTCTTCTCACGTCCCTTCGTCCGATAGTTTTCACTCGTCCTCTCTTCGCCAAGACCTTTTCGGCCAAAGTGTTCTGTATAAACACTAAAGGCCCAAGCGCAATGACGGCGGAAGCGGAACGGCAACGGCAGCGGAAAAGCCCGATCTGAGTAAGCCTACTTGTCGGATTGAAAACTAGTAAGATCCAAATCGACTTCGGTTAGGCATCTTGATGTCATTAGTGACAACTGTCAAACTTTCCGTTCCGCTTCCGCCCACATTGCGTTTGGGCCTTAAGATTTTAGTTTCGTTTTCGTTAAATTTTACCCAAATCAGAACAGCTGAATGTTCGGTAAAACTTTGACCTTCATTTTAAAGGCTATTGAATTTGAAAATCATTTTAAAACATGTTCAACCTTGTTTAAATGATCAAATCTTGTCATTTTAGTGGAGATTTAGTTTCAAAGTAGCTGAAAAGCAATTGAATTCAATTGCATGAATTTTACCGAGCAGTGCAGCTGTTCAGATTTCGGTACACGGTAACCGCAAAATACCCAATAATGACTACAAAGTAAGCATTTTCGTGGGAAACAGGGACTACCCATTAAATGGGAATTTTTTTATCCATTTATGAGTAATTACAACTACATAAACAAGAAGTAAGTATTCATTTTTGAGTAAAAAATACTCATAAATGGATAATATTTTTACTCATTCAATAGGTAGTCCCAGTCTCCCTCGAAAATGCTTATTTTGTAGTCATTATTGGGTATTTTGCGGTTACCGTGTAAAAATTACCGATGTCGGCGATAATTTCTAAGTGTGTACGGCGTAAATGGATGCATTCCCAACTCCAATGAAGTTCAATTCGTTAAAAGCAGCTCTGTTTTGCTCGAACATGACTTTTACAGACATTTCCAAATTCACATATATTTCATGACTCCCTCCTCAAGTCACACCTAAAACTTCTGCTAATTTAAGCAGCCCAATTACAGACATTTCTGAAATTCACAGACATTTTTCGCAGACTTCTGAAAAATAAAATTCTGGCATCTCTCTCATACAGTACCATGAACATCAGGACATGTCCTGCTAAATCAGCTCGGATGCTATCCCTAGGTCCAATCCAATTAGAATCTAATGTACCAAATAGGATTGATCTCAGGTACTTATACAAAAGGTAAAACCAACGAAAACCACCAATCGTCGAATAGCGTCGAATATTGCCCTCCTGCAGCATAGGCAACACGCATCACGTATCCAGGTGCGCGTCACTTACCTGCTGGAGACTTACCTGTGCGCAAAGCAATAAAGCACTCTTCTCTGCGCACACCTGGACTTGGGACATGAGCAAAGGTGATCGATACGAAAAGCTTACCCCTTACCTCGAGCGAGTAACCAGACAGCATACTTTTAGGGTGAAACCGAAACAAGGGGGAAATTCAAAGAGCTCACATTGCACAGTGGGTCATTCGCTAACGATCGCTCGGGTAATGTCATCTTAGGGAATCTTTTCGCACAACGGATTTTTTTTGTAAACATTTATATTTTATTTACTTCTTTTAAGTACGTTTTTATTATCGTTATACAATATAGGATTTCTTGTATGCATTTTTTTCTGATCTTGTTTTTTTTCTCGGTATTTCGCTATTCTTGCATTAAATACAATAATGGGATTTTGTTCACTTCGATTAAATATTTTTTTGTGTGTGTTTTAGTTCTTGTATAATAAGTATGCTCGTTTCATCGTGGGTGTGTTTGTGGCGTGTATTGTGTTGTCTATGTATGTGTGAGAATTGTATAATGCCTGTAATGTGCATGGTTTTTCGGTTTCCCCTACGTCGCCAATCTTTCTACTACCGAACGTGGGTTTATTGTTTGCGGAGTTTTTTTTTTGTTTGTCTCTCCATTAAATAAATTACTAATTTTTCTTTTTGTTTTATTACTTGATTTTTTCCCATCGTATTCTTGTTTATACTTAGGTTCAATTTGTACATTTACATAAATTCATAATGTTTAATAGGAATCTTCGTGTGATTTTTATCTTTTCTTGTTTCTTTTTTTTTATGCCGTCTTAGAAGTTAAAATCAACTTTTTTGTTTGTTTCGTGACTACAACTTTCTCCAGAAAAAAAAGAGTGTTCGATCCGAGTTTCAAGTTCGAAAAACTCTCGCTAACGGAAAAGGTTTCGGGAATGTCAAACTATTGAAACTTATAAATTGTGCTTAAGCTTTTCGGGAGTGGGGAGTGGAATAATTTGTTTGTCTTTAGCTGGAGTAGAATGCACAATTTGACGCTCTTTCCGATTTTATAGGCACTCCTCCTACTTTTCTTTTTTTTAGAGGGGGGAGTGTCTACAAAATGCTTCAAAAGAATGGATCCAAAGGATCCAATAAATAATCCAATAAAATTATTCTAAAAACGCAGAGAAAATAGATCAGTCTTAACGTATAACCTAGCACGATGTAGAGAAAAAGAAAAAGAACTTCGACTGCCAGCTGGAATATTTTACAGATCCGGAAATCACAACTATGTACAAACGGGAACGGATGAAACATAACCTCCAAAAAGTGAGAAACCGTCGCAGAGGTGACTCTAACCACAACAGAAATATAATAAAGCAAGGATCTAATAAGAGATGAAACCGAACAAGTGAAACGCTCCGTGGAAAATGTTTCCTTCTTTTGTTTTTTTTTTTGGTGATTACAATTAGCCTAAACAATTATCTTACACAAAGAGAGGAGTTAGAGGGTATAGAAATAAAAGCTTCTACAAAAAAAAAAAGAGGATAAAACTATCAACAAAAACATGACCGTTCATTTCATTCGTCAACAACAATCGCAACAGATTATTCTGATTCTTTTTTTTTATTGGGTGACATTTTCGCTTTAAAATTCAATCACTTTTTAGGTTTTGTTTATTTGTCTCTTATATAAAATATCGGGAAGAATGTACATGTTTGCCGGGTGTCTCTTCGTAAAAGGGGAATAATTTATCGTTATATTAAACTATAAAATTAAATGCCATTCTTTTCGCTTACAACTACTATGTACAAGGTGGAGAAAATAAAAATCATTTATCTAATAATTCTGTCTTCTCGCTCTTTTTTTAAACTTTGGTATTAATGCCTCTATTTTCGTCGTAAAACGGTGTGCCTTAAAATGGTAGAACCCTGTCCGTTGCCGGAAAAGCGGACAAAACTTAGAGGATCGCTGCCCGGAGGATCCCGTACGTTCCGTCCGGGTTTCTGTTTTGTCTTAGTAGATTCTGGACATCATGCGATTGGGGGGTAGCTCGTAACCACTCCATGGGGGGTAAAGTCATGCGGTGGCCGCTTCCTCCTTGATAATCGGAGTGGCGGGGTTGCTGCTGGAGGGTGTGCTTGTCCGTTCCTGGTGGTCCACCAGGGAACCCATGGGTGGGATGATGGGCAGTGGCGGTAGCAGAAGTCCCGACGGAATCTGCGGCGCTTGGTTGGGCGACACCGGCATCATCGGACCTTGCGGTGCGCCGGGTTGATGCTGCTGCAGTTGTTGCTGCATGTGCTCTCGATGTTGGTGCTGCTGAGCGGCGGCTGCAACGGCGGCGGCTTGTTGTTGCTGAGCCGCCGCCGCTGCTGCTGCCATCTGTTGGGCGGCTAGTTGCTGTTGCGCGGCCAACTGTTGCTGGTGGTGCAGCTGTTGCTGATGCTGTAGGTGTTGGAGTTCATGCTGCTGCTGCTGTTGGGCACGTTGCTGCTGTAGTTTACCCTGGTTGACCACGCACTTGCGCATGTGTTTCTCCAGAGTCGACGGTACACTGAACGGCATCTCGCAAAATCGACACCGGTAGACGTCTTTGCCCAAGCGGCCGTGCGTTTTCATGTGCCGGGTGAGCTTGGAACTCTGGGCACACGCGTAGGAACATAGTTCACATTTGTAAGGCTTCTCACCGGTATGGCTGCGCCGGTGGACCGTTAGATTGGAGCAGTTCTTGAACACCTTACCGCAGTATTCGCACGTATCGTTGCGGGATTTGTGTTCCTTCTTCATCATTGGGTGCAGAAGGCTTCCGGGACCGCGATCACCGCGACCAGGCTTGAGGTTTTCGAACAGAGAATCATTCCGGTGGAGGCCGGGAATGTTCCACCAGCTGTCGCCACCCTCCAGCTTCATGCGCTTGGATGCTTCGAAGGGATTCTCGAACGGATTGAATAGAGGAACCTGTGGAAGTTGTGGGTTATGATGCTGCAGCATGTTCTTCGCTAGTTCCTCTTTGATCCGTAGCGCCGCCGGAAGTCCATTCAACTTCTCCGCCAATCCGGGGATGGCCATGGCGCTATTGTTGTTATCTCGATCTTTACTGGTCAGCTGCAGCTTCAACGCGTTTCCCGACTCCTGTAGGGCTTGTTTGTAGGCCTCAGAGTACTGAGCAATGTTGGACAGTCCGAACTTGTCCATCAACTCCCCAACCAGGGAGGATTGCATGTGCACTTGGCCGTCTTTCTTGGCATGGCTCTGGGTACTGCTCATGCTGAGATCCTCCGCTTCCTCGCCCATCGCTTCATCCCGGTCGTCGTCGTCGTCGTTATCGTCCTCATCGATGTCCTCCGCATCCATCAGTTCGTTATCCGAATCATCCATATCGGATCCCATACTTCCCATATTGCTATTGCCGTCTTCGCTGGGGATTCCGTGAGTTTTCATGTGCTGTTTCAGTTTCATTATGTCGATGCAGGAATACTCGCAGCCGGTACATTTGTACGGTAGCTCTTCGGTGTGCGTCCGGCGGTGCACGAGCAGGTTACTCTGGAAGCGAAACTTCTTGCCGCAGTATTCACACGAATGGATCGCATCGGTGCTTTGGCTTTGTTTGTTCGGAGGGGTCGAAGCCGACCGAGGGGTGTTGGTGATGGTGCCGGAATCGAGTCCCCCCAGATCGGTGTGCTTCTCCGGCGGGGTTAGACTTTGCGGTCGAGAGTTGTTGGTCAGAGGAGTCGGCGGAAGCTGGGAGGGCGAGGGACTAGCGAAGGAAGGGGAATGCTGCTTGCGGGGACTGGGAGAGTTGGAGGTATTTTGATTAGTCCCGGGACTGGTGGTACCCGCGAGTTGCCGCAAGCGCTGTGAGTAAAAATCCATATGGGGTTCGAGAACCAAACCTTGGGTACCACCGGGTAGGGAGATGCTCCCTGATGAGGGCGGCCGTTCGGTTGTTGGGTTGCCACCCGCATTGAACTGTTGATTGTGGGTTTTCAGTTGGTTGGCCGCCGCGACTGCAGCCGCTGCAAGATTGAGACCATGGTTGCGAAACTGCTCGGACATGAGATGTTCCATGCGAAAGTCATGGTGACCGCGGCCAAACAGCGGACTATGGGGATGGTGATTCAAGGGCATACGCAACAAACCGAAGGGATTGGGGTGCATCTCGGGCGGTGGAAGAAGCGGATGATGTCTCAAGCCCGGCGGTGGAAGACTTTGGGAATCACGTGGTGGTTGTTGTTGTTGTTGCTGTTGCTGTTGCTGTTGTTGTTGTTGATGCTGTTGCTGTTGCTGTGGTGGAAGTTGCAGCTGATTCTGCAGCAGATTGATTCCGCTACCCCGAGAGCTACCGCTACCGCTGGTATTGTTGCTGGAACAGTTCGAACTACCACTAAGGTTATTCATGGAATGGGATTTACCGCTCTGGGCCAACGATTCCGGTTCGTTGACTGCTGGTCTGTCATCATCGTTATCGCCTTCCGGTTCGTTGTTTGTTCCGGCAGCAGGTTTAACAGCAGTAGGTTCATTCTCACCTTCCTCCTGTTCGTCTCCGTCGTCTTCGTCATCGTCGTCGTCATCGATCAGCGATACCACCTCGTAGATCTTCACCCGATGGGCGTGCTGGACATGTTGTACCAGCCGCCACGCCGAATGGTATTTGGTTTTGCACGTACTGCAAACGTAGTTGCTGGGCTCTGCAATGGGAAAAGCGGGAAACGAAAAAAAAAATATTTCAAGAATTGCGCATCAAAAAACGGTTCATCAAAGCGAGGTAAATATTTATGCTAGAGGGACATTCCCATTGATTCCATCCAGCTGATGAAAAATGCTGCAGCTGCATTCCGCGCGGATTAAATCCCCTTTGGTCAGAGAATGCAACGACAATCGGCAGTTGGGTGGGGCTAAGAGGGGGGGGGGGAGCCAAATGGCAGCAACCCAATGATATTTACATAATTTCGCGCAATGTCCTGTTTATATGCACCCTCCGGCAGCGGATGCAACGGGAAATATTTATGCATACCCGGTTTAATCACTACGCTCGGTGTGTTATTCGGAGTCGGATTTCGGATTTCTCTTTGATGAAAATTAATTAAAATATTTTTTTTTCGGTTTTCGTGCAGTTGGCAAATAAATATTTGGTGGTGAGTTTTCGTTTCAGTGCAATTGGTGGGGGAGGGACTTGTCAGTTGTCAAAGTTGAGCATTGTTTTGATAAATAGTTGTGTGAAGTGAGGCGTGTTTTCCCGCAGCAGGTAAGAAGTTTTGATTTTTTTTTTGGTTAAGGAAAAAGGGAACCAAAAACCGAAACCCATTACCGGGCCCATAATCCACACGTGGTCCTGCTCAGTTTCTCAATGGGTACAACAGCAAAACAAGCCAACGATGCCCACGTGAGCATGGCCGAGTGGTGGACGGCTAGCACGCCCGTAAACGACCCGGAGAGAAGCAGTGATATCCGTATTTGAATACAAATGAGGACAACTTTCCGGCGTGGCCCATCACGGTCCCGATTGGAGAGTGTTCACGGTAGCCACTACTTATGCAGCAACAGTAGCTACTAGAAGGGAGCCCACAGAATGGCGCTTCCCCGGCGGTTGCTATCCTGCGGTCTGCTTGGGAAACGAAAAACTGTGGAATATAAATGTCCGCATATTTATATATGATCCCAGAGACACACGGTTTTTTGCACAGTAGCTGGCAGCAGATGGTGTCCTCTTCCGATGTAGACCTGGTTTGCCGAAGGATAGCGCGTCTTTTCCTATTTATGAATTTTATGTTCCATCGGAAGCATCTCGGACGTTCCATTTTGAAGCGTATATGGAAATTTGCTGCCACGTTTATTAAAAAAAAAAAAAACGAGCGCAGAACTGGGTTGCCCCTGTTCGCTTTAGGGAAAATTTAATAGCTCCTTACGGCAGCGGTTGTGGCGTGTCCAATCGACCGGATATAATGGAGGTGTCAATAGACAACGTGACAGAATCGAGAGCGACGTGTCCAGCCAGTATCAAGCCAGAGGGTTAAAGATGATCAATGGTTGTAATCACATCCGATGTGTGCTGATATATGGGAAAGATTGGAGGTTCCTTTTTTCTTCTTCTTTAAAGCCGGCAGCCAGGCAGGCTATTTATCGATAGAGGGCGAGAGCAGGGAAAACGAAACATTTATTTTATTGTCCTGACAAGGCCAATAAAAGTTGGCAGGAGGAAGACGAGAAGCAACGGCGAAAGGAGGAAAAAAGTTTTCAGTCGAGTACGATGGATAGATTTCATTCCGAGCACGTTTTACGCAGGATTGAAACATGTGGTGAATAGATTATGGTTCTTTGACGGAGGGGGTTCGTGAGGAAGCGTAAAGGCCATCCGGCCGGGCGGAGGACAGTCAGTGGTTGCTTCTGTTGGTTTTTAATTTGCCGAAGGAAAATTGAAAAATTTTCACTTCATTTTCCACGGTCCACGGCGATAATGACCCATGTGTGGAAATAATGGGCTCAGGACACACCTATTGTCAACCCCTCGGATATCATAATTAAATTACCCAAACTGACACAGACGCAACGCCTACTGCCTCGGCTCTTCCGAATCGCTGCGAAGTTTGACGTTTGTAACGTGTAGGCGTCACGGAGCGTTGGCTTGGCATGAACCACAAGCGCGAACGCATAAAACATGTGACAATTAATCATTGGGGGATAATTTTCCGCAACCACGGACCAAAGCGCGAAGTGCACGTTCCCGTCTGCTGTTCACACCCGCATTCTTCACAGCGGGAGAGGTTCCAATAATGATAGTGTCTCCAACGTGTCCAACCGACGACGTCCGTGGGCTCAAAGAGTAAGACATAAACATAGCCCGCCTAACCTCTAATTACGAGGGCAGATTCCGTACGTGGCCCGCTTGCAATGAGCCAAGCTGGGGCCGCTGTCCGGTGCATGGAAGAACGCACAATGCTCGGATCATGTACACACATAGCCCCTCGAGGGTGGGTGACAGTTCAGCCAGAACACAGATCGGTAATTTTCTGTGGGCATTGTTCTCGCCCGCCTCGTCGCCTGAACCGCCGTAGCTGTCATCGGGCGACAGCTAGAACCTGGACCTGCCTTGCCCTGCCCATCCTAACCAAGAAGATGATGATGACGATGCGATGATGTTTCAATATCGACGTGATCTTTCGCCTCGCGCAGAATCTCCGTCTTCCCTCGAACCAGGGAGTGGCCGCCAGCCAGTCAGCTCATCGATTGCAAAGATTATTCCGGAAAGATCGAGTCGGGACTGAACAAAAAAAAAAAGGTGAGTCCCTCCCGACGTAGCCTAAGCTCAGAATACGATCGCTGCAGCGAGATTAATGAGAAAACGGCAATATTGTTATTATGCAAGTGAATTCGCCCACGCGCCCTGGCTGTGGCCGTCGTCGTCGCCGTCGCGTGGCCAAGATCGTGGTGGTACACCGTCATTCATCAAAAATGCATTTTTAAATTAATTCCTATATTGTTTAGCCTTCTCCGAGTCGCGCCGCGGCGAAAGGCAAATGCAAAAACCGCCAGGGACGTTCCTTCTCCGGGTGAGATATGCTGAAAAAAAATGTCACCCCAGCTGGGATCATCTGCGATGTGACCTCGACATTTTTTGTTCGATCAAACGATCAATAAAAACGATAAGCTTGCTTTTTTTCAGTCGCGAGCGATGAAAGGTCACACTTGAATTAAAAATAAGGACGAGCATGTGCTGCGCATCCTGCCTTTGTTTACCCTTTTTCTACGCACAAGGTGATCTGCTACCCGGTGGCATGTGCTACTCGGAAAATTATTATTACGACCATTAACGGGGGGTTACCTTTATGTAAATGAACCCGGGGTCCGGTAGCAACAAGGGAAAGTGTTTCCCCGGATCGTGTGTTCAGCACGAGGCAAGTCATTCCGAAGCAATCAAACTGGTTTTCCTTTTTAGAGGACCAGCCGAACCGCATTTTTCGAGAGAGAGAGAAGAAAAAAAATCAATTCAATCGATTTCATCAGAAGGATAATACTTTGATCGCGATGCTATTTCTCAGCAGGATCCCAGTCAGTCAGTGTTCGAGGATGGATCGATAAATCAAACCGTGCAGCAGCGTGATAACGATCTGATGATCCTTTTTTTGTTTTGTCCAGCGCGCAGGTAACTCGACTAACGACGATAAAAGGATAATAATTTTTCTACTCCTTCCCTATTGTCACCAACAATGCGAACGGGAGAAGAGCATGCAGGGAAGGGGCCAGGAGAAAATTTACAACGGCGACCGGGACGGGTCAGTTTGCACCCGGGGCGTTACCCCATTTGACAGCTCTCGGAGGAGGCTTTGTTACGAATTTTGCTCGGTCACGGTCGGTTCCAGCGTGGGAAAACAAACTCTTTGAGTTTCGGTGTGCATTGTTTGACAGGTGTTGTTGGATAAATGATTTGATTTCCAATCGAAGTGCACACAATGATCGCTAACTGAAACGTGTTTGCTTTTCACTTAGCGAATGGCACTCGCTAACCGAAATGCATTTCATGTGTCCACAAACTTGTCAAATGCATAACAATGCACCAATGTTCATCCTCGTGTTCATTTGGATTATCTTGACATTTTGAAATGCACAAATTGGACAGATAACTGTCATTTAAAGCATGGCCCACTTAGTAATGGAACAAACTCTTTTGCTTATTACAGCGCTCCTTGTGGACGTTTTCGAAAGCTTTTGACGTCTATTTTTTGACATCAACAATAACAGCGTTTCTTTCGTTTTCTTTAATTAAATTAAATGCAAAATTTGGATGGATGTGAAAACAAAATCCAAGAAATAACCACCATCATCTCTGATGGAATTGGTAAAGTTTTCATTTCATCTCTCAGCGGTAATCAACGCAAAAACTGAACATGTAGACGATAACGTTTCGTCCTTGTAACTCGGGTACGATAGTCAAGTGGTGGTTGCCGAACGAAAATATGTGCAGTACTCTGGGAGATTTTCTTAAAAATTTGGCCACAATGCAAACCTGGATGCAGTTTCGATATCGCTTTATGCGATCAAACTCAGAGGCGAAATCATCTTCTCTTTAGTATACTACAAAAATCAGTTACGCCTTTTTGTTGATGTTAACTTAGGGTTGCAAAACATGTTTTTTTGTGAAATTTTATGAAATTTTACAAAGCACTGAATCAATTGCTGTCCACTTCATTTCACAAACTAAATTTGTTTATATTTGTCAGTCCCGCCCTTTTGAAATGATGGTACTGATCTATCATTCAGCAACACAAAATTTTCCATCGTTATACCATTTTTCTTTAAGAATAATCGATAAAAGTATGTTGATTTTTCGGTTTTTTTCTGGTGATTTTGGACAAATATTTCAAATCAAAGAAACATATTTTGATGTTAGTAAACCTGCTTTATGAAATGTCAAACTCGGACAGGGTCGACATCAATGCATCAAGGCATCACAAAGGACTACAACATCGGTTAAAGTGACTACATAAATACAAATCTCAATATCTCGATGTACTAGGGTAACGAAGGTATTATGAAATTCAAAAAATCAGAAGAATATCAAAAATATCGTAAGTATGCCGGACGACGACCCAGTAAAAATGGTTCTCGAAAGTGACCCAACTGGAACAAGAAGAAAAGGCGCACAGCAGGCAAAGTGCATCAACCAAGTAGGTGGCGACCTGCGGACCTTTCG